TTTTCCTGCTATTCTCTTGTAGAAATACCGAACTTGCTTTCCATTTATTTCAATCGATTTCTATTGCAGTAATTTCACCCGATCAATAACTCTCACACATGTCCTTGATAACATCACACTAGAGTGATGAATTACAAAATACAAGTTTTTGTTTGAAAGAAATTATTACTTTCATTCAGCAAGGATACATTAAATTGATTAAAAGTGGCAGTAAAGATGTTTAGACTTGTTAGAAAATATTTCAAATTAATGCTATTTTTTAACTTTGATGAACTAATCCTTGCGGTTTTCACAAACATATTAGGAAGCACAGCAGTTTCAAACATTGATAATAATAATTTCTTGAGCACCAAATCAGCATATTAGAATGATTTCTGAATGATTATGTGACAGAAATTTCAACTTTGCTACCACAGAAACAAATTATGTTAAAACAGTTATTTTAAATCATCATAATGTTTCACAAGTTACTGTTTTAATGTGTTTTTGATCAAATAAATGCAGCCTTGATGCACATAATAGCATTTATTCTGATACTGAGAAATGTCTCGGTTACGAATGGTAACCCTCGTTGTGTCGTTGTGTTGAGTGTACGACACTAGGGGTCGCTCTTGGGAGCCCAAACACCTCTGACATCTTTGAGAAAAGGCCAATGAAATTGGGTGTGCAGAATTTGCATAGCTGGCCACTCCCCGGACATCCGGTTATAAATAGGCCAGCGTGGCATCTGCTCACTCGTTCTGTTCTGAGGAGTCGAGAAGCGTCTCAACCCACTCAGAGGCAATTTGGAGTTGTGGCATGAAGAACACATTCAAATAAATGCAGCCTTGATGCACATAATAGCATTTATTCTGATACTGAGAAATGTCTCGGTTACGAATGGTAACCCTCGTTGTGTCGTTGTGTTGAGTGTACGACACTAGGGGTCGCTCTTGGGAGCCCAAACACCTCGTTCTGTTCTGAGGAGTCGAGAAGCGCCTCAACCCACTCAAAGGCAATTCGGAGTTGTGGCATGAAGGACACAATGTCTCTGTTCCCTCCATCAGGGAACGAGGGTTACCATACGTAACCGAGACGTTCCCTTTCTGTCGTTGACTCCGACGTTGTGTCGAGTGTACGACACTAGGGGTCCCTATACTAAACGCCACAACTGCCGAACTGTGTCACGAGTCCACGGGGGTGCAGATGTTGACAAGCCAACGTGTCACAACCAAATGCACCTCTCCTCCTCGTAACCTTCCAATGCCCAAGACTTAAGACCTCACTCTCCAACATCTGGGAGAGCCGCCATAGAGGCAGAACCTTGGGCACATATCCAGGCAGAGGTCTCAGGACAATGTGAGAGTTTGCCAGCCCGACCTCCAGGCATGATTCGCTAACGGAGAGGGCTTGGAGATCCCCCACCCTCTTGACAGAAGTGAGCGTTCAGGAGGGCCGTCTTCATAGAGAGGGCACTGAACTCAACTGACTGAAGGGGCTCAAACCGATCTTTCTGTAATGCCTGTAAGACCACAGTGAGATCCCAAGAGGGAATGAGACGTGGCCTCGGAGGGTTCAACCTCCGGGTGTCTCTGAGGAACCTAATAACCAGATCGTGTTTCCCTACTGATCTGCCTCCCACGGTGTCGTGGTTAGCCGCAATCGCGGCCACGTACACCTTAAGTGTAGAAGCAGACAGGTGTCTGTCCAGGCCTCCTTGGAGGAAAGGGAACACAGATCTGATGCCACATCTCCGAGGGTCCTTCCCCTGGGAAGAACACCAATTCACGGAAATGCGCCACTTCAGGTCGTACAGCCGTCTCGTCGAAGGGGCTCTGGCCTGAATAATGGTATTCACCACTGCTGGTGAAAGGTCTCCGAGTTCCTCCTGGTCGCGTCCAGGGACCAAACATGAAGGTCCTTCCTCGGGGGAATTCGCCAGGGAGGAACTGATGACATGAGCATGAGCTCTGAGAACCAGGTCCTGTTGGGCCAATAAGGGGCCACAAGCAGGAGCTGTTCTCCGTCTTCCCTGACTTTGCCAGTGCATCCGTGCCGAGGGGAGCCTCGGTCAGGGAGTACCACAACTGGCAATGGGTTGATTCCGATGAAGCAAACAGGTCCACCTGTGCCTGGCCGAACTGACTCCAAATCAGCTGAACCGTTTGGGGGCGAAGCCTCCACTCGCCCCTGAATGAGACCTGTCGCGAGAGGAGATCCGCTACACGATTGAGGTCGCCTGGGATATGAGTGGCATTCAGAGACCTGAGTCTGTGTTGGCTCCAATGTAAGAGATGGCGGGCGAGTTGTGACATGCGATGGGAGCGAACACGACCCTGGTGTTTGATGTATGCAACCGACGATGTGTTGTCCGTCCGGACCAACACGTGCTTGCCTTGGATCAAGGGTCGAAACCTCCTCAAGGCCAAAAGCAATGTCAACAACTCCAGGCAATTGATATGCCAATGCAGCCGAGGGCCTGTCCAGACCCCTGATGCTGCATGCCCGTTGCACACGAAGCCCCAGCCTGTCTTGGAAGCATCTGTTGTACCAACAATGCGTCTGGACACCTGTTCTAAGGGCACGCCATGTCCATCTTGGGACTCGGGTACGAAGCCAGTGCTGAAGCGGTCTCATATGCATCAGTCCCAGCGGCATTGAGGACGCCATATGCCCCAGGAGCCTCTGAAAGTTTTTGAGAGGGATTGCTGTTCTCTGCTTGAGAGCCCTCAAGCATTTCAGCACTGACTGAGCATGACCCTGAGAGAGGCGTGCAGTCATCGTAACCCGAGTCCAATTGTACACCGAGAAAAGAGATACTCTGCACAGGTGAGAGTTTGCTCTTTTCCCAGTTGACCCGAAGTCCCAATCGGGCTAGGTGGTCGAGGACCATGTCCCAGTGTGCGCAAACCAATTCTCGCAAGTGAGCTAGTATCAGCCAGTTGTCGAGTTGATTGAGAATGCGAATGCCCACTTTCCTGAGAAGGGCAAGGGCAGCCTCCCCGATCTTCGTAAAGATGCGAGTAGACAGGGACAGCCCGAAGGGAAGAACTTTGTGCTGATATGCCCATCCTTCGAAGGCAAACCGAAGAAACAGCCTATGCCTTGGTAGGATTGAGACATGAAAGTTTCATGTTTGAGGTTTAACATTCTGAATGGAAGCTTGTGAAGGGCCAGGTTCTGAGTCCTCAAATCCAGGATTGGTCTCCAGGATTGGTCTGAGCCCCCTGCCCTTCTTGAATACAATGAAGTACGGGCTGTAAAACCCCTTCTTCATTTCGGCCAGGGGACAGGCTCGATTGCACCCTTTTCCAGAAGGGTTGCAACCTCCGCCCGAAGAACAGCCGCATTCTCACCTCGTACTGAAGTAAACGGAATGCCCCTGAACTTGGGCGGGCGCCTGGTGAATTGAATCGCATAGCCGAGCCGAATGGTTCTGAGGAGCCATTGGGAGGGATTGGAGAGGCTAAATCTAGCATTCAGATACCCTGCCAACGGTCTCAAAGGAACCATGTTCGACGTACCTGGAAGTGGAAGGCACTGTGGCAGGAGGTGAAATGTCCTGTAAAACACACCGTGCCTTGTCCGCAGAGTCTGTCACGTGCCACCGACGGATGAGGGAACATGAGTTCGCCAGCATGCATCGTGTTGGCTGAGTGATAGACCATTTGCATCTGAACGTGAGGAGACAAAGTGTCTGTGTCCAAACAGGTTCTGATGCATGGTTTCAGTGTCTGGCCATCGCAAATGGGAGGGCCAAAAACACTGTGTGTGTGACCCAGAGAAGAAGGAAATTGCTCTTTTATTGACCAGGTGGTGGCTATCTGCCAGGTGTCAGACAGCCGTGGAGGATCTGAATCCACCATCTGGTCTCCCAACATGACAAACTAAAAAACCCACAACATCCCTCTAAAACCCTCAGAATAGATTGGTATATAACCTTAAACTGCTTTAACGGACAATATCAACAAGTGCAAATTGTCAAAAAAAAGTGGGATTTATCACAGATCACAAAACTGTAATTTGTGTGTGTGCATGACAAAAAAGTGTTTTATGCCAGAAGGACCAGCATGGGAGAGACTAATGTCTATCATTACACAAGGCCACATTCACGCCCATCATGTTATAATGAGTGTAATCTTTCACTCAGCAAATCCTGCTAGACCTGAGAAAAACCTGGGATGGGACTGCTCACTTTTACAAACCCTGAACTACCCTACAGTACTTGAACAGACAGTTGGATGTCTAATTAAATTAGCATGCAAAAGTAGAAAGGAAAGATTAAAATGTTCTATGAAGAGAATGAAAAAAATGTTATGGGACGCTTTGCTCATAGCCAATTAAGGTAGCATATAATAAAAAAAATTAACACCCTGTATCACATTACGGCTGTGTTTAAATTTGTTCAGCCTCTTAACTTAAGAGTGTTTGTTTCCTGTGATCTAGAGAGGAAAGTCTGACAGAGACAGAGCCTATGTGTGTGTATTACAAATTAAAACAAGTTTATCTCACTCCAGCAGGTCTGTCCTGATGATCCAATGCTTCTCCTTTCTGTTCTGATGTCCTCCTCAAAGAATTGTCCAGAAACATTTGGTAAATTAACACTTTTATAGCAGTTCTAGCAGTTTCACTTCTCTTTTTAGCAGTGAAAACTGGGAGATCTTGAAAACAGCATCAGAACATGTGGGATGCTTGTACTCGCCATAAGTGAGATCTGAAGGACTGTAGCTGAAGTGTTTGGTCTGGACATACAACAGAATATATGAAAAGTCCATCAAGGGCATTCTGGAGCTAAACATGAAGCACACATCCTTCAGAGATCACATTGTAAACCTTTAGTCATATTCTACACAAGCCAATTTCCCAGAACAACTGAAATGAAATGTCCATTAATACAGGTCACAGAATGTAGATGTCTCTACTGAGATAAAAGATAAAACCACTCAGGGTCACTATAGCCCCCGATTCACCTGGAGCTATGTGTGTCAAGAAAGGTTGAAAGAAAACAGAAGTGCCCTTACCCTGCCATGACGATGAAAAAGTCCAGTCTGTTCCAAGTATCGCCAAGATAACAGCGACGGCCAAAGATTCCCAGAGCCACCATCTTCACCACCATCTCCAGTGCAAAGAAAATATAGATAAATGCATCGAATGCCTAAAAGAGATCAACAAAGACACTTGTATAACACAGTGTATGTTTAAATATACCTTATAAAATCAAAATCTAGAGTGGCATTAATTCCATATTTTGCTTTGAGACAATCACTATAATGTGCTCCCAAAAGCAGCACAGATTGGTCCAATCAGATGTACTCAAGAATGAGAATGTCCCTCCCCGTATACCACAAATTTTCAATTTAATTTTTCAAGTTGTAAATCTCAGTTTAAATAGTTCATGTCTAAATAAATTCTTAATAACAATGATAAACAAATAATTAATAAGAATATAAAAATAAGAAATACATTTTTTTATTTTTTTTAAAACAGACCCAGCATTAGATTAGATTAGGTCTTTCACTTGCTGGCTGATTACAAAGCGAACCTGAGTTATTGGAAAGAAAATGGTAGCTTTGCATTAGGCCATCATCATGACTTTTAAAGCATGTTTTTCCGTCAGCTGTTCGTCAGACAACAAGTGGCAGACACATATTGTTTCCGTCAATTGTAATTCCTATGTAAATCAGTGGGGGCTGGTGCTTTTCAGGAAGAAAGATGCTCAAAAACTGTTTGACAGATTGAACGATAGATAGAGCGACAGAACAACAGACAGATAGCTTGATACCTAGATACTGTAGATAGACAGACAGAGACCGACAGACAGACAGACAGACAGACAGACAGATAGATAGATAGATAGATAGATAATTAAAGAACAACAGAGAGACATATTTTAATTGATAAGAAATGATTAGCAGTCCGGATGGAATCAGTTCTCCAGATCTGGTTCACGATCCATTAATTGCTCTGCTCAAATGTATGCTCTGCAAATATGACCTCTGAGCATTCAAATTTGCTCTGGGAAGGACATAGTAACCGAAATACTTAGCAATGTGTTGCACGGCATGGTTTTTTTTAATACACAGTATCTGACTGCTAACGAGAGCTAATGAGATCCTGAGAGAAGTCAAAAGCTGAATGAGCCTGAAACAAAAGGGCTTTTAAGAACCCTTGTATAAGTGAACAACTGATTATGAAGTCCAGTCAGCACCCAGCCTGTTCACCCTTACTTCACCTGACCCCGGACGACCCACCCTGGATCTCATTTCCCAACCGACGCTGAGATGACTGACAATCAGAGCAGACGATCCATTTGACAGAAAGCGTTTCTTTCATAAACAATTGAGTCGAGCGAGTACACAGACTTAAAGAGGGCTGTTAATTAGCTCCTTACAAACACTCCGACGCGTGATTGTCGCTGTCAAAGCCCTGCTGCGTTCTCATTACGACGCCACAGATAGCTGGGATTTCGAGCGACTGATTACACAGACCAGTCAAGCCGCGATCACCCTCATTAATGGCTTTGTTTCTGCTCTCATGTTGGTCACTCGTTTAGTTTTTAAGTTCAACCCTGCAGGGATAATTATAACGATATGAGAAGTGTAATTTTCTTGCACACACGTGCAGAAAATAGAACGTCTGTTACGTTGTGCCCCTTAGTCTGAGTCACTTTGCATGTCCCCAGTTGCCAAGTAGAACTGATACAGGTTTTGTTTCACACAACAGAGTGTTTATGTGTAATACAGGGAGGAGGCCATGGGCAGCGATGCCAATTTGGATGGCTGCCCGCACGAGAAATGTAGAGTTTGAATCCGGCCGGTGCGGACGAGCAAAACAGCACTGGTTTAAGATCCCCTGTGGGACCAGAGGACGCAAACATCCTGGCGCCAAGAGGACGCTTCCTCTAAAGCTACCTTCTTCCACACACCATACCTGACATATGGCTCTCTATACGAGTCGGTACACACACAGCAAGCAGGAGAGAGACAGACTTTCGTTCCTGCCCACACAGTTTTCATTTCAACCCCGTCTTTTTGTTTTGCAGTCAATCCAAAAAGCTAATGTGAGAAATATCGCATTGCAGACCTTCTTAATTTGCATTTCTCTCTTCAAAACTCTTTTTACACAATGAAAGTACAGCTCTGAACAGCGAGAGCTCACTGAGGGAATACTGTCAGCCATCTTGACTGGTAAAACATTGAGTCATGGCTCTCGCTCCATTTCAGCTGTACCTATGAGAAGGTAAAGCTGACGTCTGATGCCTCCGGCCTGCCGCAACGCAAGCCACTTTCACAGGTAAGTCTGAGATATGAGGTAAGCTCACAGTCAGCATTATTTCTTAATTGGGATATGCACAGTGGAAAGTGATTGGGAATTGCTATAAAATTCAATTCAATTTGGCGGAAAGCCTAGTCATTAGGGGAAGATCTCGGTAACTTATCATCTCTTGGACTAAAAGCCTATAAGATGACTTACAGCGCTTCGCCTATGTTTCATCCTTGTAAAACTTAAAGGGATAGTTCACCTAAAACTGTATGATTTCATTTACTTTCTTCTGTAGACCAAAAAAGATTATATTTGTGTATGTGTGTTTTACAATGGAAGTCAGTGGGGTCCAGTGTTGCTTGGACCCCATTGACTTTGATTGTATGTGCAAAAACACAAGATTTTAAATATATTCTACAGAAGAAAGAAAGTCATAAAGGTTTAGAAAGACATGAAAGGGTGTAAACGATGACAGAACTTACATTTTTCTGTGAATTATGCCTTTAAGCAGTAAGTTTTTCCATCAGATCAAATTGGTCTGTGCCTTTATTATTGTGAACACAGGGCTTATGAATCTAGACGGTGTAGCAAAATGTCTCATGGTGTTGCACGCACTGAGGATATTCACAACTGCAGACAGAAGTCAAACTCACCAACCTACAACCATCCCTGATGACACTGTTCAACAAGAGGAGAGTATAAATTCATCTCATATTGATGTGTTGCGGGGACGAGCGGCACGCAAGAGTCCTGTTTTATTTATAAGATACAGAGAGAGTTTATATTGCATACATTGGTGAATAGTATGAAAAAAGTAGGGCAAAATACTGCTACTATTTTATTATCTGAATATGAAAGTCAAGGCATTTACTCAGTTTCATGTTGCTTCAAACACATATGAATGACTTTCTTCCACGGGACAAAAAATTAATTCTTCAGAATATTAGTACTTGTTGCTCTTTTCCCCAAATGACAATGAACAGTTTTAAATAGCATGAAAAAAAACATAAGTGGCTCATACAAGTCCTCTGAAGGCAGATTTGAATGACAAACACACCGAAATTAAAGCCGTCACTTATTCAAAATGTCTCCTGTAAGCTACTGACTGCTGTAACTGAATCAATGAGAATATAAAAACCAAATCTGATGAAAGAGTAATTTAGTTCAATTCATTGAACGAATCGGACTCGAATGAATCATACATTTGTTCACAAATCTGACATTGCTCTCAAGAACATGCAAATGTAAGTTAAGGTGGATGTCAAGATTTTAGTGAATAACTTAGATCTGTTCACCCCTTAAACCTATAACAAGACTTCAGCAGAATACTAGGAATGTAGTGTGTTGTCGTACTGACCCCCTTTTTTATCAAACTTTTATGTTTTTTTGTGTCCCTTTTAAAGCATGAAAGGCTTAGTCTATGTTCATTGTAACTACCTTGAAAAGAATGATCATCACCAACTGCATCATTCAAAATATCTCTTTTTGTTCTCCATAGAAGCAAGAACGTCATTCAGGTGGAACAGCATGAGTGAGTAAATGAGGACACAGTTTTTAGGTAAGCTAATCCCTTAATGGAGTGTGTTCATGTTTAAGCTGTGCCATGAAAGCTGAACTGGAGCAGTGCCATAGGCGATGATTTTTCTAACACACAACGATCATGTACATTTTTATGTGAGGTCTCTGAACAGACTCCCTGGACCTAGCCGTCACATCCAGGCAAGCTAATGAACACAGCAGGGCTCCTGGGACAGTGGATGCATGGAGAGTTTAGAGGACACATAAAAACGTCCCTAAAGCTCCCAAAAGATGACATAAGCAATTAAAGGCCATCCTCTGCCACCCCCCCCCCCCCTCGAATTCTGTCTGCTTCATCAACCTCTCAGAGTGAGAGAGAGTCTCATTAACCACAGAGAGTCGAAAGGGATGATGATAATAAATGGAGGGAAATAAAAGAGGAAGACTGTATCTTGATACATGATGGGCTGGGAATCGTATGATCCTTAAACTGTCTTTAACTGACATAAAAAAAAATGGCATTTTGACAAGGCATATTAACAACATTCAGGGCTGGTCTGTTGCATGAGGTTGATTTTATATGTCTGGAAAGAGAGCAATACAGATTCTCTGTTTCAAAACCTACGGAGCTTCTCATGAAGGCAGACATCTTAGGTTCGTTCCTGCTGTCAAAGCTATTCAAAAAGGTAACTTCATTTAAATTAATGCATAAATTATGTACGCTTTGCGGAGAAGAAAATGTTATACTGTCAGAAAAAATAGCAAAAGTTTTACCTTTTTGTAAGGGTACAAAACCTTATCATTGGGGCAGTAGCCTCAAAGGGACAACTGTGTATTTTTTCTACTCCTAAAAGGCATACATTAGTACCTTCAAGCAGTAATAGTTCACCCAAAAAAGACAATTCTGACATCATTTACACACCCGTATGTTGTACCAAACCCTTAAGACTTTTGGTCCCTTCATTGTAACTTCAAGTAGCCAAAACCTGTAAGATCCACAAAAGTCATAAAGGTGCCATAAAGCAAGACCACATTAACTGAGCAGTTTATTCAAAATCTTGTGAAGAGATACTGATAAACAGACTTAATTTAGTCTCATCTTTTGGGTAAGTAAATGAACCTACTATGAACCTTTTATGGGTAAATATCACATCGCATTTTTTTTTTCCAGGCAAGATCACAAGCCACAATTTTATCACAATTCTTTTTCATATTGACACTTTAGTAAGTTATCGAGCTCTACAGCCAATCTAATTTCCCTATTGAGCCCTACAAGGTAACAATAAATAAATAAATAAAGATTGGCAGAGCATTTGTTCCATGACATTTAGAATGCTGACTTAGTAGGTTGCTCACTATGTTTTGGAACAGAGCTAGTTAGTGTATATATGTGTCCACACTGACCTGTAGAATCTGACAGCGCTCTGAGGTGCAGTCGATGTTCTCGCAGGGCTGGTACATCCCCAGAGTGACGCAGTTCAGCAGGATCACCATGATACTGATGCGCTCGAACCACGTGAGGAAGCATATGTTAAGGCCAATATTTATCAGCAGACAAGTAAATACAATACTACACAAAATTAGACATTTACACTTTTTGATTTAGGTTTTTTAGCTTACTTGTGAGAAAATTGCTATCACGTTGCTAGGACACACTAGTTTGAGGGTCAGCAAGGTTCTTGTTTTGAAAGAAATTTACTCAGCCGTTTACTCAAAAATACATTTATTATTGTTACAAAATATTTATATTTCAAATAAATTCTGAAAAAAATATTAAGCAACACTGTTGAACTGTTTTCAACATTGATAATAATAAGAAATGTTTCTTGAGCACCAAATCAGCATATTAGAATGATTTCTAAATCTATATTATATAATAATTTCTGAAGGATCATGTGAGACTGAAGACTGGAGTAATGATGCTGAAAATTCAGCTTTGCCATCACATGAATATAACAATATAATATATAATTATATTTTAAAATATATTCAAATAGAAAACATTCACAAGATTACTGTTTTTACTGTATTATTTTTTTATCAAATAAATGCAGCCTTGGTGAACATAAGATACTTTTTTTTTTTCAAAAACATTAAAAAAAATATCCCCAAATTTTGAATGGTTGTCTAATTAAGCAGTTTGCTACATAATTGCTGGCAGAATAAGTTACATGCTGCAGTTTAATATAGGTTTTGGGTTTATTTATGTCACCGGTGAGTATTTATCGCTTCCTAAGCAAATTCAGAAACAAGATTAGCTTTTCAGATTTATCTTCCATTGTTAGCCATGTTTGGGGTTGATTTATGACACCACTAATTATTGTGTGTGTTTGTCTGTGTATATACTTTACATCAAATGTGTAATTTATTATTTCACACCAATCTGATCAAATTAACAAACACCGTACTGTATGAATAGGACAAATCCAAAGAAAACTCCACTCAATGAATACAACCTTCACAGTGAAAGCACATCACAAAGAAACACAAAATACACTGAAAAGGCATTTGTCACCCCCTCCTCCCTCAGGCCTGTTAGCTGCAGTGAAATCTTCAGGCCTCTCCACTAAATCTCTACAAGCCTCATCTCTTCACCAAATAGAAAACATTCACAAGATTACTGTTTTTACTGTATTATTTTTTTATCAAATAAATGCAGCCTTGGTGAACATAAGATACTTTTTTTTTTTCAAAAACATTAAAAAAAATATCCCCAAATTTTGAATGGTTGTCTAATTAAGCAGTTTGCTACATAATTGCTGGCAGAATAAGTTACATGCTGCAGTTTAATATAGGTTTTGGGTTTATTTATGTCACCGGTGAGTATTTATCGCTTCCTAAGCAAATTCAGAAACAAGATTAGCTTTTCAGATTTATCTTCCATTGTTAGCCATGTTTGGGGTTGATTTATGACACCACTAATTATTGTGTGTGTTTGTCTGTGTATATACTTTACATCAAATGTGTAATTTATTATTTCACACCAATCTGATCAAATTAACAAACACCGTACTGTATGAATAGGACAAATCCAAAGAAAACTCCACTCAATGAATACAACCTTCACAGTGAAAGCACATCACAAAGAAACACAAAATACACTGAAAAGGCATTTGTCACCCCCTCCTCCCTCAGGCCTGTTAGCTGCAGTGAAATCTTCAGGCCTCTCCACTAAATCTCTACAAGAAAACTCTCATTCTAATCAATAACACGGTTTGCACTGCTTAACAAGAATCTTATTTGCATCATGTTTTCACTGTTAGTTATGATGAAAGTATTTGTGAGATTGCAGAAATCACATTGCAATAAGATTATCATGACACGGCTACAGTGAAAGGCAGCAACTTTTGATGCAACAGGAGTAGTTTTAAATATAATGCTATAATCAACACTTTTTGCATTGCTTTTTATTTTTAAAACACAGTGAAAGTTTCACATTCAATGCTGATTTCATATGCAAAGATGTTAGCCAATCACAGGAGTGAGCATTTATATTGAACTCTCACTGCAGACAAACCCCTTCAAATAAGAGGGCTAAATTCAGGGAAGAAAATTACCATTTAAATCCAAATTATGACTGTTTTGGATTTAAAAAAAAAACTTACTAAGATTATAAGTGCACCTCAGGAAACATTATGAAATAATTAAAAAAAATAATAATTTAATGAGCCCTTTAATATTACCATGAACTGCATAGGCCAAAAAATATGCAAAATAAGATTATATTTAAAAACTAAAATAAACAAAATTTTAAAAAAAGAATAAAGAAAAGAAACAAAACAAAATAATCCAAATTTAAAAAGATAACTTTGCTGATTTTCAAATATGCGTTGTATTGTTAAAATGTGGGAATATGAAATGAACTGTGTGCACTCTCTCTCCATGCTACCTGAATACACATAAACACATTTATTTGTCTGCAAAAGTCACTCGAATCATGTAAAACACATAATCTAGCTGTCAAATAAATGAGATATCTGGGTGCAGGTTTATTCCTGATGATTAAAAAGGGATATAACACAAGTAACAAAGAAAACATAAAAAAAGTATGCTTACATATACTACCAACACTGTAACAATACAAAGCTGGTTATAAGTCAGTTAAGTATAAGTTGCATATTTAAATAATAAATTAAATATGCAAAATATTAAAAAAGGTCCAGTTTCATGTTATTTTACTCTATGTAGAGAGATAACAAGGACAAAAATATTTGTTTTATAAAAATTCAGAAATGCTTATAGACAGCAGGTGACATTACTGACATCAACAATAAAAAAAAAATGCCAATACATATTTTTGCTGTCAAATAGTTGATTGATCTCATATGACCTAATCATTAGGTCCTAATGTAAGGGCCTGCAATAACACAATTTGACCAGTGTGGTGCTGCAACACAAGACTAAAGGCTGGAATATGCTACACAACATTTAAAATCTGAACAGATTTTAAAACACTAGGCATCATACACTTACCGACTTTGTAATAGTCACAGAGGAAACACTTTCATGCAAGGTGGAAATTATTTACAGTGCCAGAAAGATTGTCCACAGTGAAGAATATATACAAGTGCACACAAAAATGACAAAAATCCAAAGTACCAAAGAAACAACAAAAGGGAAAAATAAACCAGAAAATAATCCAACAATGATATATCAAACAGTAAACAGGTGTCCACAGTATACGAAGGGGTTTTGGGTTTGCTTGAGGCACGTATGCAAAATGGCTCAATGATAAGATCATGCATGATGCATGAGAAAGCTCTTATCAGGGAAAGAGGAGGGTCAGAGTATCAACAGCCAATCACAGACACTTACAATCAGGCCTCCTGAGGCCCATCAGAAAAACGGCACAGCACCAGGGTCAATACATATGCCATCAGAGCCACAGTGATTAAGTGTAGAACTGACAGAGAGAGAAAGATGAACGAGAGAGAGGAGGAGGAGGAGCAGATGGATGATAAGCGTGATTAGTGACGAGACAAGTTCATTTTGAGAGCAGCTCCATCAGTTACAAGTGCTAGCTGATTAAGACAGCTATGGCTTATATTTAAGTCAACATATTACTGCGACAACCGAGGAGGAGAAGGATAAAGATGGAACTGTAATTGGCACCCTGAAGTGAAAGAAACCAAAGCACAGTATTGTTGGATTTGCCACTAAGATGGACAGGACACTTATAGATAGAGGGGTCAGACACAATGAAGCAGAATTAGAAGGGAGGAACAGGTGTAGACTGTTCATTTTGTGTTCATCATGGAAGTGTAACGCTTTGTCCTCAATGGTTATTAGGACTACAGTGTAACACTCACATGTAAGGAGAAATGGTCATCAAAGATGGAAATGGAAATGACAAAGACAGGAAGAGACAGTAATGTGTAGCAGGGATGATTTCTCAGAGGAGGCAACTGGAAAAAAGTACATTCACAAAAGAAAGAAAGAAAATAAATAAAGTTAATATTAAAAATATTTTTTTAATATAGTATATAGTCTCATTTCTTCTAATTTTAGGTGGGGGGCTACAGTCAGTCCAAGAGTTGTAGATGTTGAGCGAAGGGAATGAGAAGCAGTTGATGAGGAGGAAGGGACCTATTTTAGGATATTCCGCTCCCCCGGAGACTTTAATAATGAGACCAGGACTCTAGGTCCCACATATGACACAATATTTGTCTCACATTGCAGAACAAACTCCAATTTGAATGCACCACTGGTGCTGCGCAGAAGCATACTAAACAGATTTGACGGACAAGCTAGTGTGGTGTGAGTCGACGGTTAAAGCACATGCTGTAAATGTTTCCTCACACACAGACAGGCTGCAGGTGTGACATCTGGCCTTGTGTATGAGCTAATTCATCTACAAAAACAGCTCTGTCCATCCCACTTTCTCTGTTTCTCGAAAATTTCTGTTGCCCTACAGAAGCAGAATTTTAAGGCATTGTGCAGCTGATGTGAAGGCTGTTAAAAACATAGGTAATTTAATTACTATGCCTCCAAAGATCTCAAAGATCTCATTAAAGTCTCATTTTAGACTAATTTAAAGACAGCATCACATGTAATCTTCATGAAAGAAGACAATCCCAAAATGCATTGCGACTGTCTTAGTGGGGAAAAAAAATTATCCATGATGACAAAAAATATTGATTTTAAACATACTTTATTGCATTCACTCCGAAAATAAATTTCCATGCTTTTTAGAGTATTGCGACATTAGCTTAGCAACATGTGAAGAAATGGTAATACCAAAATGCATTGTGACAGGTTTGAAAAAAATAGACAGAAATAGTATGAATAAACTTGTATTTCATTAATACTAAAATGTATTAAGAAAATAGTTCAATAAATAAAAATTAACCATTTAACACAATATTTACACATGATATATAATTTTATGCTAAGAGTACTGCGGCATTAGCTTAGCAATATGCTAACAGCAAACACTATTAAAATCAATTGCCTACGTAAAATAATCGGTTATTCGGCTTATAATGGTTAGGATCCTGCTGTAGAACAAGAA